GAGAGAGAGAGAGAGAGAGAGATTATATCATAAAATTATACATAAATTATTCTACTCACGAATCAAATTATTAAAAAAAAACGTTTTTACATGTAATATTATTTTTACATTGATCACTATACACACGGTAGGTGCGTATGCGTTTTAACGTGTCGCTCATTGTAACAAATTAGAATATTGCCAAATCTATAAACTATAACAAAGAGCATATATATATATATATATATATATATTTCTACGCAATATCACCATGCAATATCGTTAAATTATTCAAACACGTTCGCTAATTTTTTTTATTTTACAGTTCAACAAACATTCCGATTGTTTTATTTTTCTTCCTTTCAACGAATCGAAAACCGAGTCATCTCATCTTTTAATAATTAATCTTTCAATCTCTATTCACTCTTCGTCCATGGAATATCATTGCATTTTTCATTGCATCAATTGTTAGTTGTCACGTATCTAACGCGTTCGTTATTATCTTACACGTGGTAAGTAGGTAGATATTTCCGTTGGTCCTCTTGCACGTAGTTATATAGTTTCGTAGATACTTTAAACGTCTTTCACGTGACAAAAATGACAGATCTGGTTCGAACGCTATATATAGCCAGCTGATCATTATTATTGAACTCGTACTATTTCGGATGTTTTGATATATTAATACTATATTCGAGTTTAGTTTCGAATCTAGTTTCGCATGTATACGAACATTATTCTCAATTAATTACAAGAAGAGGAGAATATCAACTCAACATGATAATAACACGATGTTGCTTCTACACGAAAACGTTGAAACAATGTCAGCATTACGCAGTAACGTCACAATTAAAAAAATATAAAACACATACTAATCTCCGTAGTACTACGATACTAAATCTATATACATTATTGTGAACATGTTTCCTTTATATATATCACATAATTAATAAAAAGCACGCAATTAATAATTGCATCATCGACCATCGTACATCGCACACGCGCCAGCGCGCACGCATGCATGTAAAAATTCAAATGTACACACACACGCACGTACTAAAATTTACCATTTGTTTGTTTGTTTGTTTGTTTGTAAACCTAATAGTACTTGCAGAGATACAGGATATTCACGCGCGCATACATCAGTTACTCGAATCATCGACCTGTTTTTACAAAAATTCTTTGACAGAAATAAAAGGAACGTTACACGTTGCACGTAGATAATCTTTTGAGGCAAGGTAGTAATGGGAGGGAGGGATTTACAAAGTCAATTTAATTTTTTCAACTATCGAGTTTGACAAACGTTTCTATATTTTTTTAATATCGTGCAATACGATAATATCGTGATACAAGACGAGAATCATCGCGACGTCAACTACAATTGACAATATCGGGATACAAGTAGTCTGTTACAAAGTCACAAATTCGTGAATTCTTCAGATGTCGATCGAAACACGAATGGTCAATCAATCGACGCTCGCTATGCTCGCTTTGCATCGTCTGGTGCGTTTCATCAACACACCGTTTTCGAGATACGATTTCGTCGAATGATATGTCAGATGCGATGGATCGATCGCGCGATCGATCTACAAAATTGTCGAAATTCTTTGACAAAGTATCGTTTATGAAAATTCGGAATTCATCCGAAGGCAATAATTTGCCGAAATCGAAAATTGTACCGAAAAGGAATCTTTGAAAAAAGGAGGAACAAGTCTCGTTACGATTCTTTGACGTTGTTTGACGACTGGTGGTCGAACGTTAGCGAATACAGATTAACTACGTTCGATTAATCTTTCATTTCTTACATTCTGAACGTTTCATTTGTCACGTCACAGCGATATCTTTCGTTTCTCGATATTTATCGAAACAACGATACATACCTTTCAATCGTAGATAGGCATACGCGTTAAAAGTCTCAAAGGTCAAATACGATCCAGTAGTTGCAAAAGATATGCAAAGAGACACGAGCAATTCCATTCGTAGCGAGTGGCTTTCCAAACGATTTAATAGACGATTCACAAATTTGTAACACGCACTTACTACGATAGATTATCTCGCGTGGCAAAATATAGAATCTTCAACTACGAAAAAGTTACGCTTAACGTATTACTTAACGCATAACGTTACTCTTTGTTACTCTTGTCAAACAATTTTTGTAAAAACACATTGTTTTTTGTCACG